GTTAACTTTCTTCAGAGGAAGAATCGGTTTTCCCTTTTTTGCTTGGGGGAGCACCATCATCCAATTCCTTCAAAAGAAACCATTAAGTTGGTTATAAAGCAGAAAACACAGCTGCTATATATAAACTTTTTTTTTTTTTTTAGCTGTAAGCATGTACCTGGGCTGAGTTGGAAGAGTCTAAAAAGTGCTCTGAATCCCCCTGTGACTTGCTGTCCCTTTTGGCTGTTATAGAACCTGATGAGCAGTGGTTTTGTTCTGAAAATAAAGAAGTGCTATTAGAGAGCCCCAAAAATCCAACAGCTCAGACAGATAGAGAAAAGAGGATAATGATCTCGTAGAGGCCTCACTGCAGTGACTAACCACTCTTATGATCCTGAACAGATGAAGGCTGCTTGGAAGGATATTGGTCACTTTTCAAGTCATTGCTGTCATTCTGAGAAGCTGCCATGGGTTCAGGTGCAGGACTAGTGTAGTTGCTGGTCTCTTGCTTCAGTGGGGAGGAGTCTGCAATGGAGCTCTGGTTACTGTTGTCGTCTGTATGTGGAAAACAGAAACACGATTAAAAGGGTGTTGCAAATGATTTGAGAAATGCTTGGAAAAACTTTCAAGCAGTATATGACTGTTAATAGATGGTTACAAGATAGAATAGTATTTGACATCAATTCATCTGTAGTAAAACAGTTTCATCAACCCCCTCTATTGGTTAAGAAGGATAACGGCCCATTGAAAGCCATTAATAATAATAATAATAATAATAATAATTAAAAATGAATAATTGACGTGAAATTACAGGTCATTTCTGGCATACTTAAATATTGCAGAAATCCCTATTAGATCAAATGTTTATGAATCACAAAGATCACAATTTGGTTTAAAAACCACTACAAATTACAATAATCGCCAAATAACATAGCCTAAAAAACACTGAGGATTATTTTGAGATGTGATTGGAGTCTGATAACTCAGGTCTACAGCATTACCATGCATATCCATCATTCCAGGAGAAG